AGAAGGAGAGCGGGAAGACCAAGTGTGGCACCAGGTGGCACAGAGTGGCACCAGATGGCAACAAGCCCTGGTATATTGGAACCCAGTGGAACTGAAGGGAATCAAGGTTCACACGAACACATCCAGCTAGTTGATTCACCTTCATCACTTTGGTTACCACTCCACTCATCTAATGCTCTTAGAATAGCTTATCATTCATATACATCTATAGAGCTTAGATTAGTTGGTAGACTAGTTTAAACCCATGTAAACTAGCCTAGTGTATACATTCTGGATGTGTTGTGATCATCCAGAAGGTGAGGCAAGGACATGAGTAGCTTTTGGCTGGGCAACGCCATTAGTGAAAAATCTTGGAGGACATGAGTAGCTTGGAACAGTCTGGATCCTCGTGAAAAACCTCACAATCTACGCCCGGGCCAGAGGTTGATTGGGCACTAAATGTAATGGGATATTCATTTAGTGGAAATCCATCTGAAATAGATTGAGACTGGATGTAGGAGGATTACACCACCTCTGAACCAAGATATATCTTGTGTACCTTTTACATTCAGCACCCAACACATACTTCAGTTCTCACTCACCTTCAAACTATCCCAAAAGCTTACATATTCACTGTCCAGAAAACTCACTAAATTTATTTTTGAATCAAAACTCCTTACCTACGTACATCAAAGAGATCTATATCAATAAGTCTAAATCCTTTACACAAAGGTGTTCTGTCCAACCATCGTTGTTACAACTAAAAGGGTCATAACCTTTGTTTCTATAAAGTGTCACACTCTTGAGGTCAAGACTTCTGCTGTATGTTTCAATATCTCTCAAAAGATATTGGAACACATTCTGTTTGAGGAAAAAGGCTTCAAAAAGAAAAGATTTTTAGAAGTCTATTCACCCCCCCCCCCTCTAGACTTCTACCTCACTTGGGACCATCAATTTTAGGGGTGAGATTTTGGAACCGGGAACCGTTAAATCGGTTGGAACCGAACCGTTATAACCCGGTTCGGTTCGGTTCCTACAAATGAGATATTAATTGTTAACGGTTCGGTTCCTAGTTGTTGTTAACGGTTCGGTTCCTGGTTCCTATAAAAAATATATGCACGTAACCGTTAAGGAACCGATATTAAAAATATAAAAATAAAAATAAAAAATAAAAATAATAGTAGTAGTATTAGTAGTAATACTAATATAACAAAAATAAACACAACAACAATAATAATAAATGAATGATATTTAGCCAATAATTTTAATTTAGTTTAATCTATAAAAACAAAAATAATAAATATTTGCACATGAGGTTGAATACATTAAGCTCATTTTTACAAATCAAGTTTTGTTCCATCAATAGGATGTACATGCAAACTCAATGTATTTCTAGGTTTTGAGAGGCATAAAGTGTACGTCCTATCCTTGCCACTATAATGATGAGCAACCTTCATTTCAACGACATAACGAACGATTTTTATATTTTATGTATTAAATGAAAATTAAAATCTTCTTTTTATTCTATTAAGTGTTCACTTAAGTCCGAACTTTGATGTTTGGAGTGATTAGAACTCTAAATAAATGTTTATGACTTGTTTTAACTTTTTGACGTTTTCATGTGGTATAAGCTAAACTATGTTTTAATTCTTACACGAAAAAAATTATTCTAGGAACCGATAAAAGCAAGAACCGAACCGTTTAGAATTGGTTCGGTTCCATATCGGTTCTTGATTTTTTTATAGGAATCGAACCGATTTCATTTGTTAAAATTTAAATAACGGTTCCACTATTTTTGAGTAAGAACCGAACCGGTCCCACGCCTAATCAATTTGTATCAGAGCGGTTGTTCATAAAGTCAGTTTTTGACCGGCTTATTTTGAACAAAAGATCAACCACCAATTTCCCAAAACACTTATAGAACAGAGATGGAACACACTATGAAGGATACTCTTCAAAGAAGAAACAAGGAAGGAGAAAGTAAGCTTTGATCACACATCAAGGAAAGGGACTGTTATTCAACAAGAAGAAGAAGTCAAGCCTACTATCATGACATCATAGTTCTGGCCAACTTTTTTAAAGAAAGATGTTCATGAAGAGGTATATTCAAATACATCCCCAGTAACTCAAGTTATCTTGAATGTTCAAACCTTTATCCCAAATGTACTTCACTTCATAGAACATTCAAATAAATTTATTCCTTTCACAAACTGAAAATCTTGAACATCAGAAAGTCCAAATAGCAACAATACTACGAGGATAATCTGATGGTTGAGATCAATCTTATGAGGAAAAAAACTGAGAGATCTCATTACGTTCATTACTAATGAAGATTATATTACTGGATTGGCATTGAATACGACTTTATCAATTCTGTCCCTAACCTCAAGAATACCAAAACACTTATTGGTCCATCCATTATCCATATCAAACAAATGAACCAGTAACCAACTATATATTTCCACATCATCATACACCCTCCTTACCCTTACTCCCATACCAGAGAACCTATCACTCACCCTTCTGGCTGACAACATTTTTGGGAAGTCAACCAATCCACAAAGGGATCAGAGAAGGTTCAAAAGAGATTCAATAATATAAAGGGAGAAGAGAGCAACCAAAATCATGAAACAAGCAAAGATCTAATGATTTCATTATTCGTCAATTGACATATGATGTTTATGAATATCAAAAGACCGTTGTTGTAAGTTTCTCATGGTATCACAAGTGGTACTATTGCTCTTAAAGGAAAGGAAGAACCAAAAAGACAAAAAGATGATGGAAGTATTGAGTGGAATAAAGAGGTCAAGACTGGAGACAAACATATTGAAATTCTCAGATCATTAACACAACTTATGTTAATGATTTAAAGAATTATCTATTGAGCACACACCAGTCTATGACAGAAGAAGACATTATGTTCTCAAGAATGTCACCAAAGATGTGTTCACTGGAAAGAAGAGATTATCAATACAGTAAGCCACAAGTTGCTTGCTGAAAAACTGCTAGCAAAGAACCAGCTGAAAAGATCTTCTTCTCCAGCCACCAGGTATAAGTGGATGTATCAGATGATGTTCAATCCCAATCAGATTGGCCTTACTCAAAGAAGGATTGAACCATCATCAACAACATCACACAAAGATTGTTGGGATCATATAGCACTGAAAGTAGATTTTGATGATGTCTACAATAGTGAGATACTCAGAGTCAACAAAGGATCCTAACATATCTAATTCTCAAGGAAAGAGCTTGAATGGTGAACAACCTTGAAGAAGGAATATATATGCCAGAAAACCCTAAAGGTACTCCTCCCCATCACAGTAAAATATCAATTGGTATCATCATTTGATATCAATTGAAGGACATACAACTCAGGGGGGACTACTCCAAGGTTTTAGGCAAACATTATTACGGTCATCTTGCTTATGAGAAGATTATCACAGATTGATGGGGAACTTCTTCACCTCAATAAAAACTTAAGGAATGGACTCTAATTCAAAAGGAGCACCCTACTATTTTGTAGAGTCTTGTTTTTAATAGGATCATCTTGCAAGTGTTCTATTAAAAATAGGAGCAACCTACTAAATAGCAGCGTCCTAATTTAGGAGCACCCTCTTAAAAAGCTAGATTATGCTAATAACAGTGTCCTAAGAATGTCCATTTCTAAAGTTTACAAGTCAAAACGACTCAATCATCAACACAGGGGGAATGTTCAAAAAGCTTCAAGAGGATACGCTCAACCAAAGGATTGAGGACTATTCAGATGAAGATTGGTGATGAAAAAGGCATTAGCAAACTCTCAAATCAAAGGCTGAAACAAGAGCCTACATGATCTGAGCAACAAAGAAAAGTTTGCTAAAAATGCTACTTAACCTCTCAAGAGTATTCTAGGCTTCGATTGAAACTAATCAACTCCAATTGACAAAGTCCAGAAACCAGATGACTTGACTAGCTCTGAGGATCAGGTGGGATTTGCTCAATAAAAACAAATCAATATGGCAGAGATCGATCAACGTTCTGGATAATAGAAGGAGACGTTCAAAAGGAGAATTAGTTATGGTTTACCAGAAACTCTTGAAAGGAGGAAAGAAGAAGGATGATGTCAGCAGGAAAAGCAGCAAACTGAATTCTTTAGAAAATTTTGGTTGCATGCTGAAACCAACAGAAGACATCAAGCTTTTCTGATCCGATGAGAACACCTCAAGCTTCTCTGATCGATCAGAACTCCTCAAGCTTCTCTGTTCGACCAGAACACCTCAAGCAATTCTGTCAAGGAACAGAACTCCTGGTCAAAACAGAAAGGAGGTTCTGTTGAAACACCAACTCCCAGTTTATTTAGCAGTTAGAGCGTGCTCACCTACTTGAAGACCAGCCTTTCGGCACGGCGTGCTCACCTACTTGAAGACCGGCCTCGTCCCCGCTCCTCGCAGATGAGGACCGTTGATTGACTCCTTCAGATCGGCCTCAGTGCCGACATCTTCACATGGCCACCGACCTCAGGTACGGTGCCATCATCATATTCAAAGACCCCTAAAAAATTATTATTATAGAGGGGCACCCAGGAATCCCCAAAGGGGATAAACTCGTTCCTCACCGACTACGACGGCTTAGCTCAGCTCAGGATCCAAAGGACCGAGATAATTTGTTCTATAAACTATAGAACAAGGATTTTGAAACTTACAGGAGAAGGCATTTTCATAATTCAGCAAAATAACGTCTTTGACATAAGTAATGCATGGATTGCTTTTACTCTTGTTTTATCTTAAAAGCAGGTCGAAACCCCAACACGGTTATGCCTTATGTTTTTTCTTTTTAGGTGAAATTCATATCAATAATCCGTACTTTTGATTGTTCTATAATAATAATATCTACCGAAAAAGTTAATACAAATAATCCAAACTCGTAAATGCATATATATAGATAGATTAAACCTTCATAGATAGATTATTATCCTTCAAGAAAATAATTATAGTAATGATACAAAAAACACTAAACTCAAATTTATGACAATGGTGAACAAAGTCAACACTGTATCCTTTTATATTAAATATCAAAATGATTAATATAATCTATCTATGTAGACGTGTTTATGAGTATGGATTATTTATGTAGACATCTTTGGTAGAGATGTAGAATCGCTAACGGTATGGATTGGGGGTCTGCAGCGAATACATTCCACCACCTAATAACGGAGTGAGAAGCAAGATAATTTGTTCTGCACATGAAAATGACCACACAAAAAAATTGCACATCCATAGATCTATCATCATAAGCTCCATACATTCTAACTAGCTAACTACCAAGCAAGGAAAAAAGATTCAAATTGCGCTACTACAAGATAGTTGAGCCCCATCCTAAGATCCCAAGCATGATATGTGCTGCAAAGAAGGATTTGTAGTTCAAGTAGTAGGAGCCCGATGTTAAATTTGAATCCACCGTAGGAGATGTACTGTTCAGATATGTGTCGTTTTTGTTACCTCTGCATATAGAAAGAACATCTTCAGCATGAAAATTTATTGTAGCAATGTGATATTTTTTAGCAGAACCCACATGATGCATAACATATACGAAGAATTTGTTGTATGTATGTGCATTGGCAGAGTTGGAGTTCCCCTAGTCTCAGATTGGCTGTGATTCGGAAAGAAATTTCAATTTAGTGTGTGTGTGTGTGTGTGTTCTTCTTCATGTACAAAGAAACAATCTTTTTTGACAGAACTACTGAAACTAGGACGGGTTGTGGCCAAGCAAGTCCCTAACTTCGCTGGTCCTGGTAGATCTTGGGGAGCCAGCAGCCACACATGTCAGATCTAGCTATCTCTTTATTATTTATAATAATACCTACATATTCCCCAAATACCTAGCATGCAAAACTTATGTGAATGAATTTTCCCCCTCCGCCACCATTGCACATGTGGTAGTTACCAAGTGTGGTAGGCTCTGCCACCATTGCACATGTGTTTAGGGAAAAAGAAATTACCTTCCAAATAGACATGAACCATGACCTGCAAGATATTGAGCGATACACCAAGTTATTAATCACAACAGCGCATTATAGCAACTATTCACAAAGTGCAGCAAACCAATGACAATGTTGCAGGTAGGTGTAATAAAAATAATAATTCAGATATGAGGCCACAGGCTGCTTATTACTTGGATTTGTTGTGGTGACAGTGGCCACCCCATTGAAGTCACAGCTTCCAGGAACCTTTCCTTTATTCTGATAATAAGCATCAAAAGCATATGTCGCATGAGCCATCACATTATCTGGTTCATAACAGGGCGCACCTTGCATCAGCGGTGAACATACCACCTTCCCTGGCCCACAAGCCCAGTCCAGAGCTGCCTGAAGCATCCTAGGATCTGCCCCTTCTTTTGCAACACAATAAGTCTCCTTTGTAGTATCATTTGCCAGAACGGATCCGGACCCGGTCAATCGCAAGATATATACCGGCCTTCCATTCGAGTCAAACAATCCCCAGTTCTTTTCTGACACTGGGCCCGGCTTTGTATCCTCATTGTAGAGCTCATAGATGTATGTGCTGACGGGGATGCCGGGGTATTTTGGGGTTCCTGTTTGGTTGATAATGTGCTTGATCAAATTGCTGTTGTAAGTGTTGGCGTTGTCCAGAGTGGCGTCAGGCTCATTGGGGTCACCTTTCGAGGGCCAGCCCGACTCAGACACCACCACAGGGATATTCGTGAAGTTGAGGTCAGCCATTGCAAAGTAAGCGGCGTCCACCATAGCATCAAACACATTGGTATAGTGGAGGAGGGTGTTAGAGTCAACAGCTTCTTTGGCAGCAGAGAGAGGGTTAAAAAGAGCATAGTCCAGAGGGATAACGCCATTTGACTGCATGTACTCGTAATACGGGTAGACATTGAGCATGAAGGAGGAGCCCGTGGATTGCAAGAACTGAAGCATGGGAATCAGAACAGGTTTCCACGAGTGGTTGAAGAAGGCTTGGGACGGAGGGAACGAGTCGAGGATGATGGAAGATGCTAGAGGGGTTGACACTTTCACTTGCTTGTCAAGTCCAGATGCTACCAGGGCGGAATGGATGTACCTAATGGCGCTGACTAGGACACGGCCCATGTTCCAGGGCACCTCTGAACCAACACAAACTGTTGTAATGTTGGTGGCTGGGTAGTGCGACACCACGTTCTGTGAAACCCAGTTTGCAGCGGTCGAGTTCGACTCACCAATGCCTATGAGCTGATCGTTTGGGATGGAGACTGCAACTCTGATGCCAGAGCTTGCCAGGGCCACAAGCATGCCCCGGTCCGCGTTGTTTAGGCGGACATGGTGGATTTGTTGGGCTTTCAGAAGTGCAACTACTTGTGTTGGGTGTGGCATGTCTGACATGTCTGTTCCACCTATGTTCACTCCAATGAAAGCTGCTGCAGAAGCATCTGTTTGTTTGGCTGGCACAAGGGACGAAATGCCCCACAGCCCCCCATGAGAAGAAAGCCATTGATCAGCATCAATAACAATAATAATAATGAACAACATAAAGGTTATTGACTCTATCCCAATTAAAGTCAGGTTTCCCATAATTATATAAACAAGTTGTATATATATACAATAACTTTAGTTAAGCTGATAAATGACTTCTAAGCGTTGCACCTGGGAGAAATATAAAATAACTCCTAAATCTATAATAAAAGAAATATACGCTCCCTTCTCAAACTTTAAACATAAAATTGAATCACGAAGAATGTCAAATGTGTGATATATTTGAAAATGTTTTGGTGATTCTCTTTTAGAACAATTGTTCCAAAAGGCGTAGGAAATCTCTAGGCCATATACAAGGTTTAGGTGGCATTTTTCGGACTTAGAGCTTTGGGGTTGCGGGGCTTCGGGTTAGGCCGAGATTTTTAGGAATCACTTACAACTTTTACTATTAAGCCGCTTGGTACAGATATTTTTGCCTAAATGGTCCAACTTTGAGGGAGAAAAAACATCAATTAACCTCCATCTTAGCCAAATAAGTAAAGTCAAAACCTACATAATCTTAAAAGCAGTGTGCAGTCTAAGAGGACTAGAGGAGTGCATCAAAACCAAAGGCAATATGGAACATAATACATCAAGGCTTGCTAGCATATTGTGCATCTAAGCATAATCTACAAAAAAACTGGATAAGGCTGTCCATTTGGTAAACACATTGGAAAAATTACTATTACCCCTTGAGGGTAGATCATAAATACTAGCTCAACTTAGTATTTTTAAATCTTGAGTTTAAATTACTAGCTAATATTTATTTCATTTGATTGACTCCATTTTACTTTCAAATATAATAGATATAATCTAAAATATCACCTCTTAATCGGAAAAGCAAACACATTCATCATTTAAGGTCATAACTAGTTCCCGTAAGTCCTCTATCTCCCTCCCTACCCTCGAAGTCCTTCCTTCCGCCATCATAACTACTAATTTGTGACCTAGATGGAAGGAGGTATGGGTAAGACATAATCGAGCAATTTATTCTTGATTATTGATACAGAAATGGGTTCTGAACCTCACACAAAAGCAGTCACGAGCATTTGGTATATCACTTAATAACAAGAGCAGTTGTCATGATTTTGAATGCAGGACAGACGGGGTTGATGTTTTGGGGAAGTAGTCCACACACTAATAAAATTGGGAATCATAGCGGAGCCACCAGACTAACATCAAATATACCCAAAACCATTTGTGAACTGAATGGAACACCAGCATATAAATTATCGTTAAGAACATTCAAATTAAGTCGAAAAACAAGCAAAAAAAAAGAGTGAAAAGAGCAAATAAAAGGGGGAGTTTGGAAGGCAGTATTTATCGGACATATGAAACCGAACAGACTTATTAAGCTAAAAGGCCTCACCTTCATCAGCGTAAACCGAAGAAACCGTTAAGAGCAGAAAGAGCAGGAGAAACCCCATAGCCTGAACCCGTTTCTTCGAGGAAGAATTACAAGGTAATGAGTGATGACCAAACGAAAACAAAACAAACACAAGCAGATGGGTTAATAGAAAACTAAAGAAGCCGGGGAGTTGATAGTAGTGGGATAGTAGATGCTCTCAAGATTGAATGAAGTACTGAGATTGGATACAGAACCAAGAAAAAGAAACAAAAAAAGAGAGGGGTCGGGTGGGTGGGTGGGTGAGTGGGTGGAGTCTAGAATGATGTTACCGTTGGAGAGTGCTTCGTAATTCGTATTTTGATATTTTGTCAGGGCAGTCTAAGATGTCTTTCAACGTTTCATCTTGGTCCCATACATCATTACATTTTACCAATCCGTCTATCTCCCTTCATTCGATATTTGTGTGCGGAAGATACATTTTTTCTCTAGAATTTCTTATTCCCAAGATTTTTAAAGTTTTGGGGTTGAGATTTTTAAACCCCAACACATTATAAATACCATACGTATTTAGAAAATGTAAAAGATCCTTAAATGTTGAGGTAAAAAGGTTGTAAATAGGGTTGGATTCGGTTCGGGCCACTCGGCCTGTGACCCGGCCCGGCCCGGTACTGTGCGGGCCCGGGACCGGCCCGGTCGGGCGGTCCGGGACCGGGTATGGGCCCGAATCGGTGGGAAGGGGCGGGGCGGGCTCGGTTCTGGATTATTGTGACCCGGCCCGGGTCCGGGTCTATTTTTTTTTTAAAATTTTTTTTTTGGTTGGTTGGGCTACTAGCCGTTGGGGGTGGGGCTGGGGACAACCCAAACGGCTATATAGCCGTTGGGTGGGGTAAAGGGGGGGTCTGGGGGGGTTGGGTGGGGGTGGGGGGTAAAAAAACCTATAAATACTCCTAATCTTAAACATTTTTTCATATCTCTTCTCCAATTCTTCCTAAATCTTATTCTTAACTCTCTACTCTCTAATTCTCTTATTCTCCAATATATTATATTTATTATTTATATATCTACTTTATAGTTTATACTTAAGAAGTTAAGATGGAAAATCAAGATGCCATTATACGGTATAATTTTGATAAGCAGAAGGACCCGAAGACCGGGATGTGGTACGCAATTTGCAAATGGTGCGAGAAAAAATGTAGCATGGGGGCTTCAGGCGGATTCGGGATGGCAATCAAGCATATGAAGTCATGTGACAAAGCCAAAGGATCGGGAGGTGCGAGAAGTTCCGATTGATTACAATTTTCAAAATGTTTATCTCTTAAAGTTTGTTTTAATTTTCAAATGTAGTTCCTATTTCATTTCAAATAAATGCAATTGAAGTTTGTTTTTAATACTCGTATAAAACTATAAAATATAAATTATATATAAAAAAAATTAATCGGCCCGGCCCGAACCGGACCCGACCCGTGACCCGGGCGGGTGGCCCGGCCCGAACCGGACCCGTCCAACCCTTGGGCCGGTCCCGGGCCCACTATTCTTGAACCGGCGGCCCGACCGGGCCTAGGCCGACCCGGGCCCGACCCGGCCCGAATCCATCCCTGGTTGTAAAGATTGATGCGGGGAGGGGTGAGATGGGCTGGGTCGGGAGAATTTGATATCACAAATTAATTGTTTTTTTAACAAAGAAGACTTATATTAAAATATTGGAAACTCGCGGGGTAGCAAGAAGACAAACCCTCCCATCTCGGTTACCTGTCCTAGGATTAGACATATAACTGAATGTGTTATAAACACAACAATTCGCTAACCACTCAGCGGGCAACATGAAGCCTATTGCGACCCAAAAAGAAAACTTGCTCCATAGAACATCCACAGAATGGATGCTCAGCTACTTGCACATCTTCCTCATGATTCACTGGATCCGTAGCCTCACCTGCAAAAACATCAGTACCCGAGTTGTTGAAGGTGGAGCCTTGTTTCTGCAGCAGCAGGAGATACCCGACCGGGTAGGGTCAGTCACCTGATCGGGTATGAGGCAGTTTTTGGCCGGGCAACTCTCTGGATTGGAAACCCGACCGGGTAAAGAGGTTTACCCGATCGGGTCCGTGGAAGGTTTTGGCCTCTGTTTAGGATACCCACCCTGGTTTCGACCCGGGTATGCCTTTTGAGGAGAGACCCGACCGGGTCTGCGGAGTAATTTTTAATTACGGGCTTAATTTTGGGCCTGCGGCTCTAATCCTTGTTTAGGTTTTCTTAAACCTATTTAAACACATCTTTGTACGTGTAATACCTCTTGACGCCGAGATAATAATACACAACTCTCTCTCGTTCGCCGTGGACTAGCACAATCACCCCGATTGTGTGAACCACGTAAATTCTTGTGTTCTTGCTCTTTAATTTATCGTTCACTTAACCTAAAACGTAACAAGTGGTATCAGAGCTATGGTTGACGAAGGGAAGGTTAAGATCGATAAATTTGATGGTTAAGATTTTGCTTTCTGGAAGATGCAAATCGAGGATTATCTCTACCAGAAGAAGCTTCATCTACCCTTGTCTGAGAACAAACCAGAATCAATGGCGGAGGCGGAGTGGAACTTGCTGGATCGACAGGCTCTTGGTGTGGTGAGGTTGTCGTTGGCGAAAAACGTTGCTTACAACATCGTCAACGAGAAAACAACGTTTGGACTACTCAAGGCGTTATCCAACATGTACGAGAAACCCTCAGCGGCCAACAAGGTTTTCTTAATCAGACAGTTGGTGAACACGAGAATGAAGGAAGGTGCAGCCGTAACAGATCACGTCAACGAGTTTAATTCAATCATATCCAGGTTAGGCTCGGTTGAGATTAAATTTGATGATGAAGTTCAAGCATTACTTTTGTTATCATCTTTGCCCGATAGTTGGTCCGGTACAGTCACAGCAGTTAGTAGTTCGGCTGGAACCACTAAACTTACCTTTGAGGGTATTCGCGACTTGATCCTTGGTGAGGATATCCGGAGGAGGAGTTCGGGAGATAGCTCAAACAGTTTATTGAGTACTGAAGATATGGGCACAAAATCCACTAAAGGAGGTAACAAGAAAGGAAGATCAAAGTCGAGGAAGAGAGGTCAATCCAAGAACAGGAAGGACATCAATTGTTGGAATTGCAAAGAGAAAGGACACTTCAGAAATCAGTGCCCCAAAGCCTCTGCAGACAAAGGCAAGAAGGAGGTGAACGTGGCAGAGGATTATGAAGATGTCCTAATTTGCAGCGTTGAGAATTCAATTGAGTCCTGGATCATGGATTCAGGTGCGTCGTTTCATGCTTGTCATTGCAGGGATTTGATGCAAAATTTCAGGCCCTACAGCGGAAGAGTTCGTTTGGCGGATGACAAATCCCTGGAGATCACGGGTATTGGGGATGTTAATCTCAATACCACTTTGGGTACAACCTGGAGGCTGAAAAATGTCAGATATATTCTAGATCTGAAGAAGATGTTGATCTCAGTGGGACAGCTTGATGAGGAAGGCCATAACGTTAGTTTTGGCAACAAGCAATGGAAGGTGATAAAGGGAAAGCTGGTCATTGCTCGTGGACAGAAGCATGGTACGCTGTACATGGTAGAAGTGTCTACAGATGGAGCAAACACATCAGTTGAAGATGCAGGGGTCTCTACTTTGTGGTACCAAAGACTTGGGCACATAAGTGAGAATGGAATGAAGATGCTGTCTTCAAAGGGTAAAATTCCAGATTTGAAGAATTCAAAGTTGAGCTTTTGTGAGCCATGTGTCCTTGGTAAACAAAAGAGGGTAACCTTTGTGAAGACAGGGCAACAACCCAAGACTGAGCGGCTGGAGTTAATTCATTCAGATGTCTACGGACCTACAAAGGTCTCTTCAATTGGAGGTTCCCGCTACTATGTTACATTCATTGATGACTCTACACGGAAGGTATGAGTTTATTTTCTTAAAAATAAATCTGAAGTCTTTACCACTTTTAAGAAGTTCAAAGCTGTAGTTGAGAACGAAACTAATCTTAAAATTAAGTGTTTAAAGAGTGATAATGGGGGTGAGTACAGTAGCACAGAGTTTGTAGAGTATTGTGCTGAACAGGGAATAAGAATGCTGAAGACGGTTCCAGAAACACCACAGCAAAATGGTGTTGCAGAAAGGATGAACAGAACACTGAATGAGAGGGCTATGAGCATGAGATTACATGCAGGACTTCCAAAGATGTTCTGGGCCGATGCGGTGAACACAGCAGCGTACTTGATCAACAGAGGACCCTCATCTCCCATAGAGTTCAAAATTCCAGAGGAGGAATGGAAAGGTCATGAGGTATCTCTTAATCACTTGAAAGTTTTTGGTTGTATTTCTTATGTCAAAGTTAGAGATGCAGATAGTGACAAGCTCGAGGCAAAGGCAAAGAAATGTATCTTTATTGGGTACGGGCTGGATGACATGGGCTATAAGTTCTGGGACAACCACAACAAGAAGGTTATTAGAAGTAGAGATGTCACCTTCAACGAGAATGCCCTGTATAAAGATGATCTTGCAGCAGACACTAGCAAAGGCAAGCAACCAGAAAACAAACAACAAGTGGTGTTTTAAGGGATGACTGAAGACGACATAGCACAACCTATTGGTTGTGATGGCATGGATGGAGGCTCAGGGAGCAGTGGGAGCTCAGGAGATACAGGAATTTCTGAAGATAGTGGGAGTGATGAAGATAGTGGGAGCTCAGAGGAAGCTACTCTACAAATCAGACAGTCCACTAGAAACAGAAGACCTCCTAACAGATATTCTCCTTCAGCAAATTATCTGTTGCTGATCGAGAATGGAGAGCCATAATCTTACATAGAGGCGCTGATTGTGAAGGATTCCATACAGTGGAAGAAGGCCATGGAGGATGAGTTAGATTCACTTGACAAGAACCAAACTTGGTCCTTAGTCAAGTTACCACCGGGAAAGAAAGCTTTGGAGAACAAGTGGGTGTTCAGAATCAAAGATGAAGCAGATGAGAGCAAAAGATACAAGGCGAGGTTAGTTGTCAAGGGGTTCCAACAGAAGAAGGGGGTTGATTACAATGAAATCTTCTCTCCGATTGTAAAGATGACTACTATCAGGTTGATCCTTGGTATTGTTGCTGCTGAAAATTTGCAATTGGAGCAGCTGGATGTAAAGACTGCTTTTCTTCATGGCAACCTTGAATAAGACATTTACATGGCTCAACCAGTAGGGTTCCCAGTGAGTGGTAAGGAGAAGTTGGTGTGCAAACTCAAGAAGAGTCTATACGGGC